AATAATATATTATCTTACGATGTTTTTACTTTTCTAGCTCTATCGATAAGTAAATGAAGAAAAGGGAGTATTTTCTGAGACTTCCCAGCGGTTTAGTTGAGTTTTGAGTGAGATTGGAGTATTTTACTTTTATATAGTTAGTTATGGCTGAAATGGTGGATTTTCCTCAAAATTCAGTTTCACTACGTTTTTGTTAAAACATTTCACTACGCTGTTAAAAACATTGCCACGAGATTCAGTATGTTGATAACCTATGTTTCCATTTATTTTACAGGTTATCCGAGGTCACCTATACCAGTCTTGGGACTCCCAGAAAAACTGATACCACGCCTAAAACTACAGAGGCTGAACCTACTGATCAAGATATCATACGCAGCTTACGTTGCAGAAAATTCGATGAGCTTTAAAATGGTATATGACGCAAAATGTACTTATTTCTTTAACCAATTGGCTTACTTCTGGTCCATTTCCTGGTGACCATTTCGAGCAGTACAGCACAGACACGTCAAAATGACTTTCTCACGCTCGACCAAATTTACTTTTCAGTTTTAAAAAAGTTAAGTTTTTATAATTTAAACTTAAAATCAAAATTTGAAAAAGAAGTATTTTTTCTAAAATTCTTGTTAGAAACCAAAGATCATATCAACATATATGAGGTTAGACCATTAAGTTTGAAGAAGTTGAGACAGAAAATAAGCTCTGATGATAAAGAAAATTAAGAATGACCAAGAAAATGAGCCCGAAATCCTAGCAAAATACGATCCTGCGTTTGTACCATCAGCAGCCTACAATGTAAACAATAATTTCTTCAGCTGACATAGTTTGAAAGAGCACACCTCTCTACATATTTTGGAAAAGTTGTTGAATAAAAAGCTTTTCCAAAAGTACCTAAAGAGTTAAATCAAAAAAGTTTAATTTTTTCAAAATATTCTTCATTTCATGCTTATCGAATCGTGTGCCTGATATATTAGTTAGTGGCATTGGGCATTTGTTAATGCACTAAAACCAATACAACAAAGTATATAACATGAAAAACTGCGTTGTTTAGGGGACATGTGACGCCCGGCTGTGCGTGCGACCGACTACAGTGCCTATGGCGTAACGTATGCAGCCTCTGGTCTATGAGTTGAATCGACAGAGCAGATGATGATAACATTTAGAAAACTACATCGCATCGACATGACCCCAATGGGCGCTTCCTAGCTGAAAATGTCTTGTCCGTGAGTGATGAGAGAATGCATGAAAGAATGAACATGAATATCGGCCTGTCCAGCTAACAGCCACCTTCACTTAAGATGGTTCGAAGAATTTTTTTAACTTTAAGAATTTATGAAGTGCATCATCTAACCTAGTTTTTGAAGCTGATTTCGAATATCAACTTAAAATTTCCAAAATATTAAATTTTGACCTCAAAAAATGAATTCAAATTTTATTTTTAATTTCTTGGCCTAGATATTTTCGCGAAAAAAATTAAGAGATACGGTGTTTTGTAGAGAATTAAATTCTCTACAAGATAGTGTATTTATTTTTGAATTTAGGTGCTTTCCAAGAAAGTTGGTTTTTCGAAAGACCAAATTTTGAAAAGGATTTTTCTCCAAGTCAAAACGATTTCAAAACGTTTTTCGGTTCACACAGTTGTTGGTAAGTTAGCCATGTTTTGTTGAGCTTTTAGTCTTTCGAGAGATGATTGTACAGGACTCTGAGATGTCTTATTTGGAGGAGCGAACATTTTTCTTTCAAATGATAATCGAGCGACCGGTTAGTAATAATACCGTGACCGTAAATTTTGAACTGAACGTGCCACTTTGCGAGATGAGACATTTATTTCAAAGAAGTTTATCTTTCAATCTATTCAGTTAGTTATATCCACTTAATTAACATTTGAACGAAAAAAGTTTGCTCTTCAAAATGGGGCATCTCGGAGTTCAATGTCTTTCGAAAGACCGCAATCTTCACAAAATGTCGCTGACTTACGGAGAAGTAGACCGTTACGTAGACAGACCGATATTTCCGATGTACTTTTAACAGTTTAGCAGTGAGAATTTTTTTATCAATTACTCTAGTCATATTCATAAAATATTTTCTCAATTTGTAAAATCAATTACAGAGCTTCACGATATGTCTCATTTTAAAAATTGCAAAAACTCTCTACAATTCCTGTTAATGGATTCAAAATGAAACACAGTCCACTGTTCTTTTGCTAACATTTGGTGGAAAGGCGATAGAGGCGTGCAGCTTTCGCCATTTGATAGTCACGGTTACAGGTCTGCGAGACGGTTTTGATCCCGATCCCGCGGGGCTTTTTACGAGACCGGGACCAGAAAAATCTTTTTTACGGTACGAAGATTGGGACCTAAACGTCTGCGGGACGATCCTGGTTCCACGAGACGTTTAATGCGACCGGGACCGGGCTTTTTGAAAATAGTCTTGTATAGAGCATAAAAATTTCTTAGTTTCTGTGCTTGTTTGTATGTAGACACTAGTTCTGCGAAAAAGAGCTCACATAAAATTCTAAAAGTCTTCAATTAATACCACCCACGTATACCGTCTCACGCACCATATTACCACGCGCTGACTTTCGAACGATCACCGCTACTTGAAAAAATATTTATGGGACCACAGGACCGGGCCAAAAACGAGTTCTTTCTACGAAACCGGGATGAAAATTTTGTGTCTAGGTCCAAAAAAGTTTGATCCCGCAGACCTCTAAGTCAGGGCTGGGTACGTTTTCCATAGTAAAACAAACTTCGGAATTTTCTAAAAGGTTAATTTTTAAAATGTCGTTTCGGTTCGGTATTGAATTTCCTTGGATGCCTAGGACTAGTGTCAATCAAGCAAAGGTAAACTAAAAAACGTCGGAACATATACGCTTTTGAACATACTGAATAAGCTGGGTATGTATGTGTTTCGAACAAGATTCAAAAAATTGTTGAAAATCGATTTTCTAGAAAATTTTTAAACGCTTTTTTATGTCAAAATCAGATTTACTATACAAAGTTAATTGTATCGTAGAGTTTTCGCGTCATTCGCATTGACCTTGAGTGAGTAATGAATTTTATAAATTTAGAAAAACAGTCAAAAATAGTAGCAGCTGTATAAACTAGTTTTCAACAGATTGCTGAACCTTTTTCTATTTTTGAATACCTGATATCATTTATGAAACCATAAATTCACAATAAGATTGATCAGACAAAACTGAAATACTATGTGTACAATATTCTGATATAAATTGTCTTCAGAACTTTTGTATAGTAGAAAGAGAGCTAGTGGGAATGTTGTACGTTGACTAAAGAATACCAATTTAATATTGAAATTCTACCGCCGAACATTAATGGAGAAGAGCGAGTACTATTTATAATTTTCGATCTCGAACTGAACCAATTTTTTTTATCGGGAACATGTTAAAGTAATGTCTAAACTATGTCCCTCAGCTTTGTCTCTAAAAAATCGACTATTAACTTTTTACGTTTGTGATACTGTGTCTAAGCATACCTTTTATAGTTTTGGGCGAACATAAAGGTTTCGTAGTCGAAGTATGAAACCCAAAAGGGATTCATACGAAACCTAAAACGGTTTCGAAATGGTTGCACGTCTCTATACCCTTTTAGATTTGATAATAAACCTAACCAAACTTTTTGTAGAGAGTAGGGAGTATATGTATTCAATCATATACTCATTGCAAACATCAATGTAAAGTAATTTTTTCTTGATGACATAACTAATGACAACTAAAGTTAGGCGAGTACACATGTAAAAGTCGAGTTTTGAAAAAAATAAGTTTTGGGTCATGTTTCAAATATTACTTTGACATGTAACTGATCGAAAAAGATTGGCACATTAAAATTGGCAGCGAAAAATCACCGCTACTCGTTTTCCGATGTGTTTTATGTCTCACTGACATATTCTACATTACAAATGTATAAAATATATATCATAGAGATCAATTTCTGAATGATGTTTACAGACTCAGATTGTTCTCTTAAATATTATTCAATCATTATTCTTTTATTTTCACTGAATGATTGTATTATCTGTTAACACAAAGAAATTGATCTCAAATCGATGAACACACATCTCACTACCATTCAAAAATAACATCCTCGAGCCATTTAACTTTTTTTGATTCATATGAATGAAAAAAAAACAAAAGAGCAAGATAAACAAATTATGGTTTAATAGTATAAAATATGGGATTAAAATAAGTGTGCGTGTGTGTTTATGTACGATGGAAATGGACAGATTGTGTAATAAAAAAAATGATACTTAAAGTGGGTAAGTTAAAGATGCATTATCCTAGCCAGAAGATAAACAAATGGCATTTTCAACGGTAAAAGTTCAAGATCACCGTTCCTATCGCCAAATGTTATTTAATTATATGTGATCAAAAAGGATGTTTAATATGGTTTCTCCTAATCAACGTATACCATAATTAAATCAGTACAAAAATCATGTTTATCTTGATGTGTACGAGCATACGGAGAAGAAGAATAAATGTAATTGATTTATTAGGAATCTCTGTTTATTATTCTAAAATAATAAACATAAAAGTCCAAATGAATACTTACAACATTTTTTTAGAACAAAAAGAGAAAAAAGAAAAAAGAAAACGCGGAAGGATGCATATGGAATCGACTTGCTTAAATTAGCTCAGTATACATATGCACAATTGCTTCTAACATTCACACTACATCAAAAATCTTATTTTAAGAACTATCGAATGATGATTTAACAAACAATTTGAATCAAAAATAATGCTAAGCTCAATACTACAAATTCAGAGTGTATTATATAATCCCATTACTAACTCATATAATCTAACTCTTCCATTTAGATATACTTGAACAAACTGCGTGTGAAACTAGAATCTTTGAAGAATAAAAGAAAATTTTGTTTATTCGCTGTACGTAGTATTTCATTTAAGTTTGTTTTTATATTTTCATTTTGAAATCAAATCACTGGAATGTATTAGGGTAAAATACGATAATGATAATAATGCAAGTTCATCGATCATCTTTTTTGTCCATTTTTGTAATATTTATCTCATTTTGTACGTGTCCAATTCCATTATTATGATTGTTGTTAGTGTAAGATTTATCATAAAATTTAACCATTTCTGTCATATAATTTTGAAATGCCGTCATTGCACCCACAATCGCTGGAGAACCGAAACCATGTGTAATTAATGAAAAATGTGTCAAATGTCTTTGCATTGATGGTTCTAATACAGGACTCAAGCGACAATTACCCAATGGCGAACGATCTTGACTTAATAACTCGGTAAATTCTTTTACTAATTGTCTAGAATAATAAATTTAACTGTTAACATTGTCAACATATTGCAATATTTTAAAAAATCTTATTAATATATTTCCTCTTTTATTTTAGATAAAAGTCTTATATATCTGTACATAGAAACATTTTTTAGATACTTACCTTGATGCAAGAACCATTGCTTTTCGTTTTGATATTTCAGATGAATCATGATTATGATGTCGAATGTTGTGTTCAGCACATTGTCGAGCGGGAAATTCTTGATCACAAACATAATGAAAATCTCGTGCCAAGTGAGTGGATTCTCCTAAAGAAAGAAATATTCTTTAGCATTTTTTTTCCATTGATTAATTTTTTCTTCTTTTATTCATCTTTCATCATTAAGAGCATTAAACATATAAAGCCTAGAGTGACTGACTAAATTTATGTCTTGTGCATATTTTATCGACATATCTTCAGCTTGCCTATAACGTTATCCAATAGCAAACTCTGTCTCTCGTTATACACACAGTGCTCTATCACTACAATCTTTATTGTATTATATTTCTATTACGCTATTAAGCAATGTATCTAATTTCATAACCAACCTTCGACAAGTGATGTTAACAATGTAACGGTAGCAGCTTTTCGTCGTCCAGCAGGTAAATTTACACCAATTTTTTCTAATTTTTCTCGTAATATACGTCCACCGTTCTTGGACTTTGCTCTATAATCAAAGAATGATTTGAATCATTTAATGTATGTTCATATAAAGATAGATGGAAAGATAATATAATAAATGTTCTATTTGAATTACCTTCGTAATATTCCTCCTAGTAATGATGCATTCAAGCATTCAGGTGGTGACAATCGTCGTTGTACTTCAGCTACTGTTACTTTATATTTTGAATTGGAACTTAATAGCGATAGACGACCGGGAACATTGCAAAATATATCGGATGGAGCAACATTGCCAGATATTGTCAAGGCAATACCATCTTTTGTATCGGGACGTCGAAAATCTATAGAAAAATAAAATAATTAAAGATTAATATGAGAAAAAAGTATATTTTTGATTTTTGATGGTAAATTCTTAACAAAAATTCTTATTTTTATTTGTTACATTAGACAACTAGACATACCTCTTTGAAATGTGGCCATATAATGTTCTGTTAACGGATTTGGTACTTCTTCTAAACCTGGTACCTACAAAAAACAAATAATAGATGATAATTCTAGAAAAATGTATTTAATTTGTCAATAATTTTTACTCTGAAACTTGACGTATTGTCTGATGCTAATAATCCATTTCGATATAGTTGTAATGATTCTGAATCAATAGCCATTGCATGTCGACTGTAATAGGATGCATATTCAGCATACGCGCGACTATCATATTGTCCAAATGTTGGAGCTGACATTTGAAGACTATCATTTCCACTACTAACTCCGGTTGAACGAAGTAAACTGTGTCTATCATTATTGTACGAATGATGTTGATGATGATTTGTATTGAATGGTGATGAACCATATTCTAACTGAACATTACCAGACGTAACAGCAGCGGCTGCTGCTTGTAAATCAAATTGATGATTATGATGTAACGATGTATTGTAGGGTGGTGGAAAATAGGGTGGTTGAAAATCAGCTACCGGTGTATGAGATGAACGATTACTTGAACCACCAATTGAACCAAAACCAGAAGAAGGATGATTTACACGATCCTACAAAAGAAAAAAGAAATGAATAATTCACTTTGAATATAATTAAATCATATTTTTTTATATAAAATTCTACCTATTTCTCATCAAAAATTATTATTTAAGATCAAACAAGTTTTTACTTGATAAGAAATTAAGTTTTATTAATTTATTAACTAATTTTCTACATACTTTAGGCATTTATCTGACGAATTAAGAAGTTTAAGTAAAGAGACTAGTAAGAAAGATTCTGTTATCTGAAGTGAGATTATATAGAGTTAATTGTATAATTTTTTCCATCGGACACGGATCTATTTTTGTTTTTATTTTTTATTTCTTATCCTATACTGATCAAAGATATTTGTGATCATACTAATAACACCTTTTGCTAGAATACTAGTATTAATTTTCTCTCTATTTTATGACAATATATCGTATAGCCTTCTAGCAAATTTAACGAATCAAAAAAGATTTATCTAGCTAATGTGACAATACAATATCTTAATATTGTACTTATATACAGAGTAGATATGTTGAAAGTGTTAAGAAAACGTTATCTACTATATATACTCTCCCTCTCTCTCTTATTTTTCACTTCTCACCTCTACGCATAATTAATTTTTTTTTTGTTTCTCTTACTTTCACATAATATGGATGATCAACTGTATAGTTAGTTAGGCCGGGACTAGTTGATGTTGTTCCACGTTGACGTATTGGTGCCATAGAGAAAAGAATGTATAGTATCCGAAAGCAGTAATACAACAACTATTTTATTAGCTTGTGGAAAACGTTTTAAAATATGCCCGCGTTATTATTGTAAATAAATGAATAAAAACGTTGGTTGTTGAATACAAAGCCGAAAGAATAACGCCCCAATGAAGAAGAAAAAAAAACTGAAGAAGAGAAAAAACTATACATAAAAAAAAAATTTTTTTTGTCGAAAAAATTGAATAGTTAACCTTTTTCTTTTTTGTAAATATTTATTATATTAAAATATACCAATCGTTTCAAGTGGAGCAAAAAATAAATAAAAATAATGAGAAGAAAAATATTTTAATTTTAGTTCACTGCTAGTGAAGAAAATCAAAAATTTTCGTTATACTACATAAATAATTTTTTTTTTCAAGCGAAACACGGTAAGTATTATTAATAGATTTATTTTGAATAGGTAAACGTTCTTTTGCCCGTTGATATCGTACGTGCACACACACACACACATCAAATAAAATATCGAAAGAAAATGTCATCTTGTGTAGAAATAATTTAGTAGACTGATAAATTTAGTACTGGAAGTCATTTTTGTTATTATTCAGTTCATTACACAAAACAGGAGCAAATTATAAATGAAATGAACAACATGCGGTTGAATATTAGTGCGTTAATAACCACACTATCTAGAATAGATTTTAGACTTATAACATTACAGAAGGATTAATAATGCTTTTTTTTTTTTACCATAGAAAAAGAAATAAAATTATAAATGCTTCAATAATGTTAGAAAACGAATGAAAATATTGAGTAAAGTAGCAAATTTGTTGATTAAACAAAAAAATAATCGTTTTTCTCTCATAATTTCATTTTACAAATAAGATATCGGATCTTTCTCACTTCGAATAGTTTATTCTCATGATCACAAAGAACGATGACAAATTCGGAATAAATTTGGTTAAATATAAAAAAAAAATAATCTTATAGATACATTTCTACTTCTTTTTACTTGAGAATTTGATTAACTAGGAATAAACAGATTCTCGCGTTTTCATTAGAAATTTAAACACATTATTGACGATATTATGTTATGTGAAACTTTATTTTTTTTCACTTGAGGATCAATTATATTTATTTTTACATTATGTGTTGATTAAACGATTGTGAGATGAAATCGATTCGAAAATCCTTTCAGCAATCTGCTGCTTGTCTCTAATGTTTGTTTCATTATATAAACGAATTTTTGGTCTTCTAAATGTTATGGTGTAAAAAAAAAAAAAAAAAAAAAAAACAACAAAGAGAAGAAAAAAACGTTTTTTTACCTGCCAGGAATTCTCGGCGAGATGAAGAAACGACATGTAGACCCTTTAGGAGTTTTTTTACAAAATGAGTATAACCGTTTTCATATAACGAACGATAGACACTTTTTCTTATTACATAAAGATGCAGTAGAAGAGAAGAAAAAAGAAAATGTCTGGACGTCAAAGCAATGTTAAAAATGGCTAGTGGCGAATAATAGTACTGCAATGATCATCATCAAATAAATAATTTTAGCTTTTAGGTGTAGAGAAGAAATGAAAAGAAAGAAAAAAAAAAAGTATATCAGAAGTATGTTTCTATTCGTTCATTGCTTCATGTAAAAAATGACATGATTTTTTTCCTTTTTTTGCCTCTTCTATAGAAATAAATACGTTGATATTCCTTTCTTCTCTTCTTTTATCTTTTATATTTATCAAATTAACTTCGAACATAAGGTTTCATTCAACAGATGCATGAAAAAATATATTATTATTATTTCAACTGCTCTTTTTCTTTTTCGATCCGGAGGATAGAAATATATGATTGGTTAAAATACAAGTGCGTAAAAAGCGTTCATTGGATAAACTATTCTATATACAGAAGATAATAGAAAAATGAAAAATAAATCAACAGAGATTTCTGTTAAGATAAACATACTAAAAACATTAATCTAACTAATTTTTCTTTATTACTTATACCGATTACATCCAAGAATCCCAATCATATTACTGTTATGGAGACTTTGCCTTTCAAAAGATATCATTCTACTAGATATTTTAACTACTTGTCAACGAAATCTATATACTGGTTATAGTCTAATATAACCTATGCCTTAAATTTATAATATCTGATAGTCGAAAAATACAACTAAGAAGTAAGTTTCACGCATTGAACTGATGAATCAGCTTCGCTACTCATCACTAACAAATTTGATTATTCTGTTAGTAAATTGTTTATACATCAGTATTTTCACTAAACACAATGCTATAGTAATCTATCATACTGAATTCTAATTGACTCAAATAAAGAATTACGATTGAAAACTGATCCATTTATTAAAAAAGTCAATTTGAAAACTCACATTGACAGTTGAACATTTTTGCTGTCAGACGATACAGGATCTATTTTTCATAGTAAAGAGATTTGAAACGTAGCTTTTGTAGTATGAAAGACATGTTATTTACATGCTAAACACTGCGCTCAACTTTCTAAATGGAAATCGATGAAAAACAATTCAATTTCTTGATCGATTCGATGTGATTTCAATTCTAGAACAAAAGATCGTCCTTAGTAAAAACATTTTGTATTTTCTTTAATTTACAGATGAAATATTTCCTATAGTAATGTTATCTATGACCAATTTCTGACTATGAAAAGATTTTCCTGAAAGACATTTCAACCTCTATCTTCAAAAAAGTTGGTATCAATTAGAAGGTGTTGTAGATATACTCACAGTGTATAAGAAAACCATTTTTCGTATAAAGTCATTAAAAATTATTTTTCTCTAATATCTTGCAAAAAGACATTGATATACATCCATCAATAGTTCTTCACCGACTCAACAGAAGATAAATCATTGAAATAACACTATTCTCTCGCACTTTTCTACTAGAAATGGTTTTCAATGTCTAGAAGCAGTTGACAATTCTGTTATACAAATTTGTAGAGTGCACTAACATTATCGGTCTGCAATCTGTGTGATATTTCAGTTTTGTCACAATCATGTCGTTTGTGCACATTGAAAGATCATACTCTGCTGAAAATTTTGACACTGACATCATGCCAACTATTTTTCTCTTCTGAATGCAATAAACGCTTATTTGACCATTCTTACTAGAGTTAGAATGAGTCAAACGGCACAGTAACTGTTGTTGTCCTGATCTCGTCAAAATAAATTTATTATCTAAACATTTTTCAAGCAAAATAAGTTCCATTACTTCAACTAATCGATGTTGATTTTAATACTTTTTTTCTTACCTTTTTGTCACAATGTAGTTATACTTTTTAATTGAGAGTAGTACTGCTCAACTAATTTTCTACTCGACTAATCATTGAAGCAGCCCGCTAAACTGATCTGTATTACTAACTTAACTCATTCTTTTACTTTGTTGTTAATGAAGTTGTTCGCTCATGCATTGCTAATCTCAATTTAACCATCGACAATAAATGATTGAAGACGTAAGAACAAGAAAATGTGTATGTGACCGAAAGGATGTGAACAATATATACATATAATCATAGTTTCGCGATATTTTCACTTGATCTCTAAGTCGGACACAATAAGGAGAAAAATCAAAAAGTGGACAACACCTTCATTTTCACTACCACTTTCCAGTACATAATCAACGGAGAAGAAGCATTTTTTAATCTCAGAAAGTATTGACATTCTAGAAATCTGGCCTGAAGGTAGATTACGAAACAAACTACCGTCAGTAGAGAATTGGTGCAACTCTATTTTCATAATCGCACTATAGTATTTGTTAGATTCGCTTTGAAATATTTAACGTCAATATGTTTAACGAATTTTGGTTCAAAACATGTCAGACAAGGACTGTAGAATTCGCAGTGTTTTGGTTTAACATTCAAACGGGCACATAGGTAAAATTCATACGCAACGCCGCATTTCTAATACAAAGTCTTTTCATAACTTATTTTACGGTATCTACTTTCTAATACAAATCATTTTATGTACGAAGATTTTATTATTCTTTTACAATTTTATGAAATAAGTGTATGATCGGATGTGCCTATTCCAAGGATCAACGTCAAAGGATGATGTTAAAATGTGTGTGAAATGCCTTTAGGTGATAATATTTTCAACTCTATTAATTAAATGCATATAAAAAGACTGATTTTTAATCTAATAAACATGTATAGAGAATCTGGTGTATATCTCAACATTTTTGTTATGAAATTACGAATAGAAGCCTTGAGCACATCAATTAGAAGACACATGGCAGAATTTAGTCAGCATACGTAGTCACTTTTTCTATCTTGTGAAGCTCTAATCACTTGAAAAGACAACAATATGATAAATTATAGGATCACTGTATGTGTTGAACTTTTCAATTCTTTTTTCTGGATTCTGGAATGTTCCTCAACCTGGTTGCAACATCAAACATGTTGAATTCACTTTCTCTTTCAAAATATGCCATTAGATCATTTTAATTTAAGTTTACAAGGTTTGAGCTTTTCTGTAATTAGAAAGTAATTACAAAACAAATCTATACAATACACAAAGTCGAATTTAAAAATCAATACATCAAGATTAGAACTATAGCTTTGAGCGTTTCATGTTTGATTGAGGAAGCTATTGTCTCTAGCCTATTGCCTTCCTCCTCGGCTGTTTCCTTTGATACAGGACAGCATATATTAGAGAATGCAATTTTACGAGAGACTATATCCAAGTGTGATTCTGAGGTTTAAATGTTTTATACTGTGTCCATTATACCAAATGCGCTGGTTCCAAATATGATATTTTAAATGTCACCGTTACATTGTTACTTAATTGGAGTTTATTTTTTTATGCTATAGTCTCTAAAGAATCGACCTTCAGTCTATCACAGTTTTAGAGGAACATACACTCGAAAGATGATGGAAATTTTAAAGTTTTTTCAAGCAAAACAAGCGTAAAAAGCCTCTCTACAAGGGGCCTTATTAGAAATATATTGTTGTTTTTCCTCACAGAGGCAAAAAAGGCATATTCCATAGTAAAATAACACATGTTCTATAAAATACATTTTTCTCAAATACAATAATTCAGGAAACTAAATTTAAATCTATCAGATTGTAGTTAAGAAGTTTCTCTTGAAAACTGAATATCGCACGATTTGTCTCAATGTGTCAACCAAAAACTACGATATACGAAAGATTGAGCCTTTATTGACTATAGAACAAAAACGTTTTTACCGATACTGTACATTCGAATGTAGAGAATAAATGATAAGAAACAGATATTATAAGGATTTTGTTTATAGTCTATTGCAGTCTCATTGTCATTGTAGGAAGTGCAAAATTTTGCTTATCGCCAAAACCAGCTGAAATAACGAACCGTTTTTTCAGAAAGATACGACTGTTACAAGGAGGATGCCCGCCTTGGAATTGCCGTTATCGGTGTTGGTAAGTGTCAGTTTGAATAACCCAGTATCTTCTCTATAAGCTACTGACATGGTCACACATATCTTTACTAGACATCGGTGCTGCTCTGACTCGAAAGCTAGCCTAAAACTGTTATGATTTAAATTTGAAAACTTCCGAGGGGAATATTTGAATCAGTATTGATAGCATATCAATTTATCAATCTTCCTTGCTCGAGAGAAAGCTTTGTCTTCCATTCATCATGTCTTTCAACTCATATTCTACATATCTTACTTGAGAAAAACATCAAACAAGAGTGACTAACGCATGTTAAACAGCAGGATCCATTTAAAAGGAAAATAGTTACAAAAAATGCCAGTATTGTACCCACATAGTCTACATAATAAATAAAAGGCCCACGCATGTTAAGATGGCAATCTTTTATTTATCTTGGTGAAAACATTAAAATCTTCTTTTTGCTAATCAATTTGTTTGTACAGGGTATGGTGAGTTTCTTATTCTTTTTTTCTATTACCCTGCAGTCCTTACATACATTGAACCTGTAGTGTACCATAGAAGTAAACCATATTTTTGCCTTTTATTGTTATTTGTTCTGTTTTTCTATCGGTGTTCAATTTAATATTTCGTTTGATCTATTTTTTGGGTGTTTATGTGTTCGTCGTTCCTTGCGGCTTATTGTCTATTCATTAGCTTCTAATGGAAACGGAGATAGTTGAACTCTATTCTAAACGATATATATTATAACGATTACTATCACACACATCTTTAACTATTTGTCATTTACGCACACACACACATCGTTTAAAGTGAAAACAGGAGTGGAACCTGTCGAATATAAACGATAAGTAAATAGACGCGTTAATCAACCATAAACAAAAAACATATGGATAGAAATGAATAGAATACAACAGAAGATTTTTACAGAAAGGTAGAATTATTCTACAGTTTAGTGAGTATTTGTAAGAATAAGATCTACAAAATAGCCTCGCACCTTAGCGCTGTGCATCCGAATTCGAAATGTTCATTTTTCTTCTTCTCTAAGTGCAAGAACAAGTCTATATTTGTACTTCAAAATAGTTTTTATCAAGACAGTTAGTTCTCACACATACAGGGGAGTTTCGGAGTTTAGATTATATGTACATGCACCCTGACAATTCATATCACTGTATATAGAAAAAGCAGAACTTTAGATGAAACAGTCAATTGTAACTATGCTACATCTCATTTTCAATATGTAAAAGGTGACGTTTCAATGTTCCAGTCACTTTTCTTTTGAAGTTCAACTCACACACTACCATCTACACAAAATAACGAATGCGAAAAAAACCCATTGAAGATGCACAACAAATCAACATTCTAAGTCCGCCAAAAGAATTTCCTTCACGCTTTCTTCAAGCATAATTTTGAACAGTTTTGCACCGTTTGTGTATTCAGACGCTTAAAAGAAAACTGGACCAGGCCTGAATCAAAGGAAAAGGAGGGGAAAATGTTTTTCAGAAAAATGGGTGAAGGTACGTTTGCAGATATGTCAGACGGACATATCCGGCTAGGGCATGTCAAGACGGTTTTCAAACTATTTAATTATCATTTCTTCATATATTGTTGTTATTAACTTTTAATTCAACATACGAAAAAAAAGAACGACTACGTATTAAAAAAATTTAATAGCAACAAACTGGTTAAATCAAGATAGTTTTACCACGTAGAGCTCTTGTACTATTCGATCTGTAGTACAAACGGCAACCTTACCCGAGGCAATTCGAACCATTTTATCAACAACTCCTTTCAACATTTCAAGCTGGTGAACACACTTACAAGAACAGATCAACAAGCTCAAACCAACTTTGCTCAATATCAACAAAAATTAGAAGATAAAAGACACACTTAACAACAAGCAAGAATGGCCCAAAATTGATCCCACCATATGTTATTAAAAGGACGTAGAACCGGTAGAAAAATTTACAGATGTGGAGGAACAAGACTCGATCACATGATTACAAGATATCGATGAATTATCCGATGCAAAAACACCAGAACGACGAAAATTTATTCCAATGTATTTTGAAGATGATGCAAAAACGTGGTATCGAAGCTTCGAACATGCTTATCATTATCGGGACTTCAAGGAACAATTAATTCACGCTCTCACATCATCCGTACAACAACTGAAAGTTTCATCCAAGCTAATCAATCGTCGACAAGGAGTTAACGAACCTGTGCAATCGTATTATTATGATATATTGGCGTTATGCACACGATTTAACAATAAAGTGGAAGGAAGCGAAAAAGCATTTATTACGAGGCCTGAAACCATCAATACAACAACATGTTATCATGGTCGACCCAAAGAAATGTGTCGATCTATTAGAACAAGCCAAGAGGCCCGACGTAGCAACCACCATTGTACAAGCATCGATACCGACAACCACAATCACAACAACCGAGATAATAGAAGTTGTATTGTATTGACCATTGCAGAACATCAATAAATACCTCAAGGAATTCCGTAATTCCTAGGAACTGATTCCGCAATGATCAACATCCGGAATAGGGTGTATTCTCGGAACAACACAGGCTACAACTGCAACCAATTCTAGAGAAAGATGCATTGATATTTGACACATCCAGTCGGTCAACCACAAACCCCAAAGCATCGAACATAGCATCGCACCCGCGTATAAAGCCTTTCTTTCCACGGCAACGTACATTCCTGCCATTTATTTTTACACACTCAGAGCTTGTTGTGCGTTATTATTCGAAACTCGCTAAACGCATAAAAACAGAGTTACCAGCGCTATTCTGGAATGACTACGGCTGACTGGGTGATACTGTATGGATAGTACTGTAGAGCTTGCACTGTAACGATACAGTAGAAAAAAATGATAATATAAAGTAGAAAATAAAGTTCAAGGTTTTCTTTCAAACTCTAAAATCTGTTAACGAAGATTCTGATTATTCGTATTTAATTAATCATTTCAGAATGCTTGAAAAGACTTGACAAGATCTGCTCAACATTTATCATGACAGATTCTGATAGAAAACATGTGGAAAATCTGCAGCACTGCTTCCCGTCCAAAATCTTGACAGATTTTGATAAACTGCACAAGTTCTTGAAAGATCTGGGGCGAAACTTGAGAAATCTTTAAAGACTTATCAAGATCTACATTCAAGATTTTTCTCCTGGGTATATCTCTTTCAATAACTGAAATGTAGATGGAAGCCGTTTTCTCATCCAATGTCACTTCGTGAGTCGGCCGATAAAGACCTGCTGATTTATACCGGTCTATAGCTGTCCGAAAGTTCTCTTCACGCAGACGATTTTCAATAACTGATATGTAAATCGAACCCATTGCATCTTCCGGCATTATTTTGTGACCCGGTAGAAGACGGCATACCGAATTATATGCCCGTAGAGCTTCATAAAAATCCGCCCCAGCCGTATGTCTCTGAATAACTGCCCTGTAGATGCAGGCCATTTTCTCCTCTAGTATCATTTTGTGACTTGGCAGAAAACGACATGCTGATTTATATCGTTTTGCAGCAGTACGATAGTACCCTTTGCGCAGACAGGTTTCAACAACTGATATGTACATGGAAGCCATTTCATCATCCGGCATAATTTTGCGACCTGGCAGAAGACGACATACGGAATCATATGCTCGCACAGCTTCATCAAAATTCTCATCAGCCGTATGTCTCCCAATAACCGCCGTGTAGATGGAGACCATTTTGTCATCAGGTATAATTTTCTGATCAGACAGAAGACGACGTACTGCTTCATATGCTCGTATCGCTTGATGAAAATTCTCATCAGCCATATGTCTGTCAATAACTGCCGTGTAGATGGAGACCATTTTCTCATCAGGTATAATTTTCTGAGCCAGAAGATCACGTACTACTGCATCTCCTTGTTTCGCTTGATGAAAATTCTCAGCAACCGTAAGTCTTTCAAAAACTGAAATGTGGATGGAAGTCATTTTCTCTTCCAGTTTGCATTTGTGATCCGGAAGAAGACGGCGTACTGAATTATATGCTCGTATAGCTTGATAAAAATTCTCGTGACCCATATGTCTCTCAATAACTGCCGTGTACATGGAGGCCATTTTCTCATCAGCTATAATTCTGTTACCTGGCAGAAGATTACATGCTGATTCATATGCCTGTATAGCTTGATCAAGATTATTACAAGCTCTATGACTTGCAATAGTTGCCGTGTAGATGGAAGCCGTTTTCTGATCTAGTATCATTTTGTGACTCGGCAGTAAAAGACATGCTGATTTATATCGTCGCGTAGCTATACAGTACTTCGCTTGACGCAGACGGATTTCAATAACTGATATGTATATGGAAGCCATTACCTGATCAGGCGCAATTCTGCGACCCGGCAGAAGATCATATGCTGATTCATATGCTTTTATAGCTTCATCAAATTTATGACCAGCCGTATGTCTTTCAATAAGTGAGACGTAGATGCAAGCCATTTTGTCATCTGGCATCATTTTGTGACCAGGCAGAAGCCGACGTACTGCTTCATATGTTCGTATGGCTTGATCGAAATTCTCATTAGCCGTATGTCTTTCAATAAGTGAAATGTAGATAGAAGTCGTCTTCTCTTCTAATGTGGATTTGTGACCCGGGAGAAGACGGCGTAGTGAATCATATGCTCGTGTGGCTTGTTCAAAATTCTGTTCAGCCGTGTGTCTTTCAATAAGTGACATATAGATAGAAGTCGTTTTCTCTTCTAATATGGATTTGTGAGTCGGGGGCATATCATATACTGATTCATATACTTTTATAGCTTCATCAAATTCCTGACCAGCTGTATGTCTTTCAATCGCTGCCGTGTACATGCAAGACATTTTTTCATCTGGCATAATTTTGTGACCAGGCAGAAGCCGACTTACTGCTTCATATGTTCGTATGGCTTGATCGAAATTGGCATTAGCCGTATGTCTTTCAATAAGTGAAATGTAGATGGAAATCATTCTCTCATCTAATTTGGTGATGTTACCCGGAAGAAGACGGCGTAGTGAATCATATACTCGTGTGGCTTGATCAAACTTCTCATCAGCCGTGTATCTTTGAATAAGTGAAATGTAGATAGAAGTCGTTTTCTCTTCCAATTTGGATTTGTGACCCGGGAGAAGACGGCGTGCTGAATCATATGCTCGTATGCCTCGATCAAAATTGCCATTAGCTGTATGTCTTTTCATAGCTGCCGTGTAGATGCAAGCGATTTTGTCATCAGGTATAATTTTATGATCAGGCAGAAGACAACATACTGCTTCATATGCTCGTATGGCTTGATCGAAATTCTCATTAGCCGTATGTCTTTGAATAAGTGAAACGTAGATGGAAATCGTTCTCTCATCTAATTTAGTTATGTTACCCGGAAGAAGACGGCGTAGTGAATCATATGCTCGTGTGGCTCGATCAAAGTTCTGATCAGCCGTGTGTTTTTCAATAAGTGAAATGTACGTGGATGTCATTTTCTCTTCCAATTTGGATTTGTGATCCGGAAGAAGACCGCGTACTGAATTATATGCGCGTCTTGCTCCATCAAAATTCTCGTCACGCGTATGTCTCTCAATAACTGCCGTGTACATGGAGGCCATTTTCTCATCAGCTTTAATTCTCTCACCCGGCAGAAGATTACATGCTGATTCATATGCCTGTATAGCTTGATCAAAATTATTATCAGCTGTATGTCTTGCAATCACTGAAATGTAGACGCAAGCCGTTTTCTGATCTAGTATCATTTTGCGACTCGGCAGTAAAAGACATGCTGATTTATATTGTTAGTAGCTGTACAGTAGTTCGCTTGACGCAGACGCATATCAATAACTGATATGTATATGGAAGCCATAACCTCATCAGACGCAATTTTGGAACCTGGCAGAAGATCATATACCGATTCATACGTTTTTACAGCTTCATCAAATTTCTGACTAGCCGTATGTCTTTCCATAAGTGAAACGTAAATGCAAGCCATTTTCCGATCAGGGATAATTTTCTGCCCAGGCAGAAGACGACGCACTGCTTCATATGTTCGTATGGCTTGATCGAAATTCTCATTAGCCGTATGTCTTTGAATAAGTGAAATGTAGATGGAAATCGTTCTCTCATCTAATTTAGTTATGTTACCCGGAAGAAGACGGCGTAGTGAATCATATGCTCGTGTGGCTTGTTCAAAGTTCTGATCAGCCGTGTGTCTTTCAATAAGTGAAATGTACGTGGATGTCATTTTCTCTTCCAATTTGGATTTGTGATCCGGAAGAAGACCGCGTACTGAATTATATGCTCGTCTTGCTTCATCAAAATTCTGCTCACGCGTATGTCTCTCAATTACTGCGGTGTAGATAGGAGCCATTTTCTCATGAGCTGTAATTCTCTCAGCCGGTAGAAGATTACATGCTGATTCATATGCTCGTATGGCTTGATCAAAATTCTCATTAGTCTTATATGTTTCAATAAGTGAAATATAGATGGAAATCGTTCTCTCATCTAATTTGGTGATGTTACCCGGAAGAAGACGGCGTAGTGAATCATATGCTCGTGTGGCTTGATCAAAGTTCTGATCAGCCGTGTGTCTTTCAATAAGTGACATATAGATAGAAGTCGTTTTCTCTTCTAATATGGATTTTTGACCCGGCAGAAGACGGCGTACTGAATCATATGCTCGTATGCCTCGATCAAAATTGCCATTAGCTGTATGTCTTTCCACAGCTGCCTTGTAGATGCAAGCCATTTGGTCATCAGCTGTAATTTTATGATCAGGCAGAAGACGACGTAGTGCTTCATATGTTCGTATAGCTTGATCGAAATTCTGATTAGCCGTATGTCTTTGAATAAGTGAAATATAGATGGAAATCGTTCTCTCATCTAATTTAGTTATGTTACCCGGAAGAAGACGGCGTAGTGAATCATATGCTCGTGTGGCTTGTTCGAAGTTCCGATCAGCCGTGTGTTTTTCAATAAGTGACATATAGATAGAAGTCGTTTTCTCTTCTAATTTGGATTTGTGACCCGGCAGGGGATGGCGTACTGAATCATATGCTCGTATGCCTCGATCAAAATTGCCATCAGCTGTATGTCTTTCCATAGCTGCCGTGTAGATGCAAGCGATTTTGTCATCAGGTATAATTTTATGATCAGGCAGAAGACGTAGTGCTTCATATGTTCGTATGGCTTGATCGAAATTCTCATTAGCCGTATGTCTTTCAATAAGTGAAATGTAGATAGAAGTCGTCTTCTCTTCTAATGTGGATTTGTGACCCGGGAGAAGATGGCGTACTGAATCATATGCTCGTGTGGCTTGATCAAAATTGTCATCAGCTGTATGTCTTTTAATAAGTGAAATGTAGATGGAAATCGTTCTCTCATCCAATTTGGATTTGTGGCCCGGGAGAAGACGGCGTACTGAATCGTATACTCGTGTGGCTTGATCAAAATTGTCATCAGCTGTATATCTCTGAATAGTTGCCGTGTAGATGGAAGCCATTTTCTCATCTAGTTTGATTTTGTGACTCGGCAGTAAAAGACATGCTGATTTATATCGTTGTGTAGCTGTGAAAAAGTTGCTTTCACGTAGGCAGGTTTCAATAGCTGATATGTATATGGAAGCGATTTTGTCCTCCGGCATAATTTTCTGACCCGGTATAAGGTCATACACTGATTCATATGCTTTTATAGCTTCATCAAAATTGTCATCAGCTGTATGTCTCTCAATAGTTGCCGTGTAGATGGAGGCGGTTTTCCGATCTAGTATCATTTTGTGACTCGGCAGTAAAAGACATGCTGATTTATATCGTTGTGTAGCTGTGAAAAAGTTGCCTTCACGTAGGCAGGTTTCAATAGCTGATATGTATATGGAAGCGATTTTGTCCTCCGGCATAATTTTCTGACCCGGTATAAGGTCATACACTGATTCATATGCTTTTATAGCTTCATCAAAATTGTTATCAGCTTTATGTCTTTCAATAACGGACATGTAGACTGAGGCTGCTTTCTCAGGTAGTTTCAGTTTGTTACTCGGCAGAAGAGTACATGCATTCTGATACACTTCTCTAGCAGCGTTATAAGCTCCAGTGGATATATGGTCCATAAGGATAGCTGATATAGGATCTAGTGCCGCCGGATAGTCATTCTTTGTGTTTTGCTTTTTATCCATTGCATAACATAACTTCCTGATGAATTGGGTGGTTAGGGCTACGTTAAATTCTTTTGCTTGTTTTATGTATTCAAATGCTAAATCATAGTTTTCCTCTTGAGTATATGTCAATATTGCATGTTCGTATAGAGTAGTATGTTTCGATCCCAGACGTTTGAAGAATCTTTGTGCTTCTTCATACCATTTAATAGCTTCGTAGAAATTTTGATTCTCTTTTTCATATATTGCACCAATTTTGTGGCAAATGAGTGAAAGCACAAGGTAGTTTGTGCAACTATGAATCACGCCAAAGTTAAAGGCTTTTTCGTAACAACTTACCAGTTGCCCAGTCAATTTTTCAGCATACATCCTGGCTAACTGTTGTTATAAGCTTTATTTATTCAAGAAAAGAATGAGAAACAAGTTTAAATAAATGAAGAGAACAAAAAGAAAGAGGCATCCATTGTATCATTTTGTCTATTCATACATAAGAAAAGATGCAACAGTATACAAATTATCGAAAAGAAAAAAAAAAAAAAAGAAAAAGAAAATAGAAGAACATACACGCATAAGCAGAGAGAAGTAGCAATAAAGTTTGGAGAGAAAAGAAGAACTAAGTAGAGATTAAAAACGTTGGGTATTTTTTAAATAGTTGATAACAAGAAGATGTAGTTGGCATAT